AGCAAAAGTGCAGGGAAAATGTGGGAGCTGCAAGATCAAAGTCAGATTCCCAGTCTCCCTAAAGGCCTGGATTCCCCTAGAAACCCATGGCCCCACTGCCTGGAAGGAGGGATGAGGACCCAAGGGAATGGTTCTGGGCATTAACTGGTCCAGGCAGGAGGCGGCTCCCCATATCCCACCTTTCCCGTGCCCAAGGGAGCCTCTCGGGGGACCCTCATCACCTTCCCCCACCATCGCACAGCAGCCCGTACCTGGCCTGTATCAAAACACTCTTGGGGGCAGCTGCTCTGGGTGTGTTCCTGTTGCCCTGATGCTCCCTAGAACTCTGGGGAGAGAGGCTCACCAGGGTCATCCAGAGAGTCCCTGAACCCACTCTGTCCCAACACATGAGACTTCACTCCGGAGGAAATAGGAAAAGGGAGTGAATCCCATGGGCTCCCCTCCCACAAAGAAAGCTGTATCTGTCACTTGGATGCAAGGTGGGCTATGAGGCTGGAGAAAAGTTCCCAAGGACCACGCCTCCTGGAGTCTTTTTGAGATGGCATCTTGCTCTGTCTCCTAGTCTGGAGTGCAATGGTGCAATCTCAGCTCAGTGGAACCTCCGCCTCCTGGGTTCAAGCAATTCTCCTGCCTCAGCCACCTGGGATTACGGCGTGCGCCACTACGCCTGATTTTTAATAGAGATGGGGTTTCACCATGTTGGCAAGGCTGGTCTCGAACTTCTGACCCCAGATGATCTGCCCGCCTTGGCCTCCCAAAGTGCTGGGATTACAGACTTGAGCCACCGCACGCGGCTGCCTCCTGAAGTCTTTGCTGTAGAGGGGTCTGTCCTTTTGTGGAGCCAGAAGGAGGAGAGTCTGCCCTGTCTGCTGGTCAGTGCTCCCACTTTATTTTACTCAGGCGACAGCCCAGCTGGGAGAGGATGGCCTGGGATGTGCCCACCACCTGGGGTCCTGTTGGAGGTAGGCACCCCTTCCTGGCTGGGCTGAGTGTCAGTCTAAAAGACCTGCCTTATGGCAATGGCACCCTCTGACAGAGTGAGAAACACTGAAAACCAGGGGTCCTTTCACATCCTTGCAGCTGGATGGCACCGCTGCCTCCTGCAGCTCCCATGGGGACCTGGGAGGCAGGCATGAGCCCACCAGGAAGCTGTTCTCCATGTGGGAAGGTGAGGCTTTAGGGGTTTACTTCCTTGACCCGAATGCAATGCCAATGAGGGACATGATGACCCAGGCTTGGCCTCCCCACCTGCTGCACCCACACCCAGTGGCCTCAGGGATTCAGCCCTGCCTGGCCCTTTCCATCACCATCTGAATGCCGGGCCTCCTTAGCAGAAACACACACTGCTCTCCAGTTGGGGAGCCCTGCTGAGTGGGCAGCAGGTGCAGGGGAGGGAAGCTGAAGGGGTGCAGGGCACTGGTGGCACACCACGTAGAGACCCCTGCAGGGCTGAGTGTGCCCAAGGTGGTCTCCTAAGGAGCCCGGGTCTCAGGGGGCTGTGTCCTCTGGGAATCCTTGGGATTCCCACTTTTAGGTGACTTTCAGATGCTAGACAGGTGTGGTATTCTGGGCCAGGGACCTCTTGGCATGTGGCCTTGGGCTCTGGGCTCTTCAGGTTCAAGCCAGGCATGGGACAAACCTGGCCCTTTTGTGGAGGTCAGCTGTCTGCATTCCAGCTTTTCAGCCACCATCTAGTAAGAGCTGTGTCAGGCACTGTGCTGGGTTCTTTCAACCCT